TGCCGCGTACAGGGCTGGAGACAGACAGCTGCCCTGTGGCACACCAGCTGTTATGGTCTTTATTGCGGACACGGCGTCCTCTACGCAGACGTAGAACTTCCTGCCTTCCAGGAAAGACGCCACTAGCCGCAATATAGCAGGAGGGATACTTGTTTGTACATCTAACTTGTAGAGTAATCCTGTGTGCCACACTTGGTCGAACGCCTTCTCGATATCGAGAAAGACGCCCAACGATATGCGGCCACGGTTGTGTTCGGCCGCAAGCAGGTGCAGCACTCTGGTCAGCTGTGTTGCTGTTGAGTGACCCCTCCTGAATCCATGTTGCTCCGCCCGAAGTTGGATGCACGGGCGGAGACGTCTTAACAGTAATCTTTCGCACAGTTTAGCTATATGCGGTAGCAGCGTGATCGGCCTGTAGTTGGCAGCTCTACGCCTGTCCTTCCCGGGTTTCGGCAAGATGATGACTTTGCCTTTCTTCCAGTCCTCCGGGAAGTGGGATGTCCGCAATATGCCGTTGTAGAGCCGACCTATCTCTACAAGGACTCTATTGGGCAGCTGTCGTAGTGCAGCGTTAGTAATCCCGTCGTGCCCCGGCGCCTTTCTCGGTTGCAGGCGGGTTACTGTCCTCCGCAGTTCGGCGGGGGGATATAAACCACTCTCCTGCAAGCGGTGGCGTGGGCGACGACAGGAGCTCCTGCACGCGGCTCTCCTTCCGGGTATGGATTTCCATGAACTCCGCACTTGCTGGATTCGGCATAAACTGCTCCTCGAAGTGCTCAGCTAGGATATCCGCTCTGCCCTTGGCATCGTAACATTGAATGCCCGCGTTGTTAGTCAGCGGGCAAACAGGTGGTCGTGTTTTCGTTAACTGTCGGTTCAATGTATAGAGCGACGCGTGTTGTTCGTCTGCCTTCCAAATGCGCCGCTCCCAGGCCTCTCCTCTGTGGGCCTGTATTGCAACCGACAGTTCGTCTGTTAAGGTGTTAAATTTTCTTTTTACTCTAGGGCAGCGAGTACGCGCCCAGAGCTTCCTCAGCGCTCTTTTATGATTTAGCTGCACGCGTATCTTTAGCGGCAGCTCCTCTTTTCTTCCAGTGAGAGGGACGATCGTAGAGGCCGCGTTGAGGGCCTCCTTGATGCACGTGGATATTCTAGTTGCAGCGGCCTCTACGTCGTCCGCTGAGTTGATCGGTGTATGGACTGGAGGTCTCTCCTGCAGGTGTTGGTGGTAGAGCCTCCAGTCGATCTTGGTCTTAACGGCTCTGGGCGGTGAAGTCACTGCCTTAGTGCCAAGGGTTATCAGAATCGGGAGGTGCTGTGTATTCAGGTCATACAGCACTTCTACCACTACTGGGTAGTTGACGTTCCTAGTGAGCACGATTTCTAATACATCCGGACGCTTCCTAGGGTCGCTAGGAATGTGCGTCGGTTCCTCGGGACCTAGAACGTCATAGTCATGGTGTTCTGCGTCGTCGTAAAGTTCACGACTCGGCGGGGTGATCACTCTGGACCCCCACGCCGGTTGTTTGGCGTTCAGGTCCCCGGCGATGATGGTGGCTGTTGTACCTTCCATTACCGTCCGGATGTCTGAGGAGTGGAATGGAGTCCCTGGCGGGCGGTATGCTGCAAAGATCCTTAGTTCCTCGCCCGCCGCGCCGATTGAACGCATCGTCTGGAAGTCTGGCAGTTCCAGCTCCTGGTGGACGATGTCTCTCCTCACCAGGATCGCTGTCCCTCTGTAAGCGACCCCTTGAGGATCGACCTCGTCCCTCCTGTAGATGGTATAATTGGGCAGCTTTAGATGCGTTGATGGTCGTAATTTGGTTTCACCCAGCAAGATCACCTGGATGTCCTGTTGCTGGGTGAGAGTGCGGAGTTCATGGATCCTTTGACGAATCCCGTCCGGATTCCAATATAGCAGGCGCAGGTTACTATCCTCCATAGTGCCTTGCCAATAGGGATGCCAGCGCCTTCATTACGGCGGTAACTGGATCTGGGGGGGGGGGGGCTGGTTGCCTACCCTTTCCTCTAGTGATGGTAGCCCACCCGTCCTCCTGTATGGTAACTGCCTTGGGGCGACTCTGGGGGATCCTCTTGGGGTTCTCCGGGAGTAGCCCAGGTAGAACGATCCCCTGCTTCCTAGCGATCCTCCTCAGGACCGGGCAGCGGCGATCGTTGGCCGTATGGTTCTTGGCGCAGTTTGCGCACTTGGGTTCTTCCTCTCTACCCCTTGGGCAAAGGCTGGCAATATGCTCTCCAGCACAGCGAACGCATTTCACTGGCCTGAAGCAGTTTGCTGAGGCATGTCCGAAAGCCTGGCAACGGTGGCATTGTGGTGGCCCCGTTTTCCTTTGCCAGGCTTCAATGACTACTCCTCTCATATAGAGAAGTTCGTCTATATTGTAGAGTTCTTGTAGCCGCTCCAGGCTCAGATGCTCCAGCTGTGCGTAGTAGAGGCAACCCGGCCTGCCTCTACGTGGTGGTATGGCCTTAACGTACTGTATCGGGAAGCCTTTTGCCCGGATAGCCTCCTCGATCATCTTGGGATCGGTGCCCACTGGCAAACCCCGGATGCCCACTTTAGTGGGCTTCTCCTCTGCCGGGGTATAACAGTACCACGACATGGTTTTGTCTTTCTCGGAGAGCTCGACCATGTACTTCTGAATGGTACGGAACTCGTCCGGGCTCTGTGGAGAAAATCTGACTCCCTTCCCGAATGGACGGGCATTAGGAGGATGGCCCAACTTTTCATTAAGGACCTTGAAATGCCTCGTCCAATCCGGGAGGCATTCTGCAACAATCGGCGGATATCTGGATTTCTCCTTCACCTTCTCTGTCTTTTGAGTCTCCTCCGCCGATTGCGGTCGTGGTACTGCAGGGGCCGCAGCCATGTGGGCATAGCTCGTTGACGGCCGCTGTCCATCGTCGTGAGCTAGTCCGGACGGGTTGGTAGTTTGAACCGGTGATGATTTTCCGGCTGATGCAGCTAGGATTGCATACGTTGTTGAGCCCCAGCTGTAGGACTCCTCACCTCCTTGCTCGAATTGGATCGAGTCGTGACTACGACGGTCCGGTGAGATGGGTGGCGGTGATGGCGACTTAGGAGGTGAGGTGTGGACCTTCTTCCTAGTCGTTGCTTGGGGCTCTTCATCTTCTGATGATGTCGGCGAATCGGATGAGTTACCGATGCACTGCCTCTTTTCGTGGAGGGAGGCTTCGGTCTCCGGTGGCGTGTGCCTTCGTGGCGTCTTTTTGGGCCGCTGTTGCTGTGAGGGCAGCGGTTCACGCCCAATCGTACACTCAGGTACGATGGGGGAGAGTGCAATCCTAGGTGCGGCCTCCTTACCCGGCGACGAAGGTTTCCGGGTAGGTATTTGTGAGTAGGATGGGACTACTCTCATCCTCTCCGGGTTGAAAATGTCGCGGTAGGCGATGGGTCTATCCAATACGCCTGGCCGGTCCGGTGGTTTCCTCGATCTCGGAGGAGGTTCCCCCTTATCGTTCCCTGACATCCTAACCTAACAGTCAGCGTCAGCGGTAATCTAATTAAGGCCCTATCTATCTTCCAAACGATCGGCAGCAGATATTGATGCGCGACGCGGATGGTGGTGATATTATTAAAGAGACTTTCTACACTGTGGGCACTGCCTACCCCTTTTACAACAAAAGGGTTGGGGGAAGTGCAAAGGTGGCACTTTAATGCGCGACTAGGCACAGAATGCACGGAACGCATAAAGTGCCAAGAATCACCTAGGGGCCGGTGACCTCGACGCCTCACGGAATAACGGGACTCAACGATCGGCGGAGTTTGTCGAACCGGCGGTTATTTGCAGCCACTGCTAACTACGAAATAACGCACACCTAGGAGATCCTTCCAGGGGCGGTGGGCGGAGCCACGGGGGTCGCGACCAGCGAGGTTCGACAACTAGCGAGGGTGCATACAACAACACAGAAAAACAGCCGTAGTCTTGGTTATTGTATTTAATTTGTTAAATATATATAACTTATATTAATATAAGATTTAGAATAAGATAATAAAGAAAGAATGATGTTGTAACTATGCAAATAACTCTCCCAATAAAGGCATCGAATAAATAACGAGAGTTAGCATAGATTTTAAAATATAAATTGTACTCTTATAGTTAATTTACCTTTGTAGCATATCACCTTTATTGTATACATATTACCATTCATATAAATTACCTTTCTTAAGATAATTATAACATTATCAGGGCATGTTATCGTGATACGGCCGCGGAATTAATGAAGCTACGCGTAGGGCGTCACGACGTTTTATATTTATAGTGCTGAGGTGCGGGGCAGGGTTCTCAGCTTAAAAATTGCAAATTACAAGGTTTAAAACCTTTTAGAGTATAAGATAATTATTGTGTACATAATAGTATAAGAATTAGATGTAAAAATATTATATAATTAAAAATGATTGTTAATAAATAAAAATTTTAAAGAAATAAAAAAAAGGCGCGGAGGTGAGGCAAGGGTCCGCTGGCCAGCCGTGGCCGAATCATATAAAAGACGGACCGGCCGGTAGGGTCCGTCGTCGCTCTCCAGCCACTGAAAAGGCACTACAAGAAGAAAAAAAAATACAAGTTCCTCCACACCGCCGCTTGCCTCCTATATAAGCAAGAACAACGCGTTTTATTCATTTTTCGAACGGCGTTACGGCGATCCGTAACAAATATCGTATTTTAGACGATTTTGTGCTCGAGAATTGATACTTCTTGAAATAGTATATGATCAGGAAAAAATATGCACATATCTGAAATACTCAATCAAATTCTGAATTGAATAAATTTTTAAAATACTTTACGTTAATCGAGATAAAAAAAACACTATGGTCATGTATTAATCACGCGTATGAAACAGGCATGTATAACCCCCAATTTCACGCTGGAGAAACTACGGGACACGTCTTCGTCGCTTCGCCTTGTATGTTAAACACCTTAAGTTTATAACACAAAAGGGCCAAGAAAAAAATTTACCAGTAAAAGCTTTCTAATGAGTATTTCAAAGTTTCCTTTGGACAGCACGAGGTAGTCTAACCGTTCGGGTTCGATGCCCATCTTCTTAATATTGGATATGGAGGAGAAAACCTCCCGAGCCGCTGTTGTGGCGTCGATTCCATGAACGCTGTAATAATCGTTGCGATCGAAGATCCTTACTGTTGATGGAGGTTTCTGAAATGAAACCATTGTTAAACATCTTTGTTTCATCTTCTAATCTATTTATCTAAATATAATATTATTGTGGCATTTATGTACGTTTCAATTAACATATTTTTATAAAATATAGAAAAAATCCCAGGCAATTATGTTGGTTTCTTACAAATATATATATATATATATATATATAATATTACTAGGAGTAGTGGGAAAGGCTAAATTTATAATCGAGAAAGAGTGGTATATTCGTGTAGAATGTATAATTCGACGTACATGCATAAAAGCATCGACCCTTAATACGAAGAATAGACCTGAATATACTATTAGTTTGCTAAAATCTTAGATTGTTAGATACTTGTATTAAATGTAACTAACGATATTGCAATCAGATCAGAGGTAAGTTATTTACTTATTTACCGTGTGGTGGCAATGTTAGGAGTATATTACACGCTCATGCAGGCTGTCAGTTTCACAACAATCAAGGTTGTGATTGGCAAATAACCATAAACAATAATAAATAAGTGTAATGCGGTGATTGACGCCTGCATGAGCGCGTAATGTACGCCCTACAGTCACCATCCGTTTTTTATCAATCATGATTGATGGAGTTGATTGACGCCTGCATGAGCGTATAATGTACGCCTTAGAGAATCAATTCTATGGTTTTGTTCAGTTCGTGTCGTAAGAAGTGAATATAGACAATGCCAGAATTTTTTATAGCTTCTGAGTAATAGTTGTGTAACCTGTATCCATCCTGATTGGTATACCGCAAGCATAAGATACCCAGACCCGCGTCGGGACAGCAGTGTACAAAGGTGCAACACATCTCGTACTCGATCGTCAAAGCTGCCTACGCTTGGTAGGCGGCTTCGACCATACCCTTGCGTTCGCATGAACAGCAGTGGGTTTATACGGGCTTGAACAAGAGGGAAACACCGTGTCACTTAGAGAATGTTGTCAATGTATACGCACATCAATAATTTTCCATTCTATTCCATTATCATATTTAAAAAATATGGTTTTAAAAAGAGTTAAAATTGGGTAGCTGCAATTAAATTCGGCGTCCTACGCATCGGCGATCGCATTCTCGAGTTAATTTGCAATATGGAGGTTAAATTTGCTACGTTATTGCTATCATATATATTATATTAATACTATTATAATATATATGATATCTATCATATAATTATTTTAATACGTGGTTGAGCCATACTATATTATAGTAATAGCACGAATGGGTCGCCTCGGTCTTGTTGGAATAGACCACGCTCTTACAGAACATCAACGTACAACAGGAGCTTTATGCTGCTGTGTTTCGTATGTCAGTATAGAAAATCGGAACCGAAAAAAACTGAAAAAGAGGCATCTTATTCCTCAAGGGTGACAACGCATCTGCACTTTGATTCTTACTTTACGATAGATGTAGATATCTAGAGGCCACAGCATCCACTTACCAATAGGTGTGCTTTTTTGATCGACCACCCCAGCCATCCGAGCCTATCGCTTGACGTCTAACGTATTATAAACGCCATTACAAAACTATCGTCGTGGCTACACCTATGTCTACTGCCCATGAACGCAATAATAAAGGGCGTTTAACTGTTAACATGGCCAGAGTATTATACAAAATGAAGCGTTTTTTGTATATAGAAACCCGGCAACTCTTGTTCTATCCTTATATCAACTGGAATATTATTTTACAACAAAGCGAGAATTTTATCTATTTTTTAACTATATCATATTATAGAAAATTATGCATTTCTTAAATAAATAATAGAAAAGGCAGGAAGGTCGGTAAACGTAGACCCAAGCGCGTAGAGCGTAGACCACTACTCTGTGGAATTTGGATCGATTCCACCATCAATCGGTTGTCAAAGACTCAACGGTCTAAGCACTTGATGTTCCCATATAAGTGTCCTATACAGCTTTTTTTTGGATAAATTATTACTTAGTAATTAATAGTAATAATAATAAGTAAAAATATGTAATAATTAGTAGGTAGTAAGTTAGTTAAGATTACAACCTATCAAAGTCCACCGCTGAACAAAGCCTTTCCCCTAGATTGCCGCATTGTATAGATATTAGATGTTTTGTAATAGTTGCCACGCTTTTTTGCGCAGTTTTTTTTTATTATTTTGAACAGTTACCAGGAAGATTTTTTTATAGGATAAGGTGACAAACGAGCACACAGTCCATCTGATGGTAAGTGGTTGCTGCGGCCCATAGACATCTACATCTATCCTCGATTACGAATCAAAATGCAGATGCGTTGTCACCCGTGAGGACTAAAATGGAATGCCTCGTTTCCAGTAAAAAGGATCTCCGGTCTCTACACTCACCATACGAAACACAGCAGCGTTAAGCTACTATTTCACGGTGGTATTCTGTGAGAGCGTGGTCCTTCCCCGGTCGTGCCGACCCATTCGTGCTACAACTATACCACTAATATAACTGCAGTATGACTCTACCACGTATAAATATTCATATCAATATCTTCCTGGTAACTGTTTATCTCCTGTTTCAGTTTCCCTCCGTCGCCTCCTGTGACACCCACAGGATGGTATGGGGAAGTAGATTATCTTACGACGCGGTGGCTAATAAAGCAATAAAAAAAATTAAACCAAATCAACGCATATCTTCACTCATATTTTTTATTTTATTTTCCTCTGTCCTTGTTTGTATTTACGACCTACTTTTTAAACTTGACATATATTAATACTAAAGTTACTATCTGCTTATTCTGTAAGTAGTTTATGCATCTTCAAGCGTTAATTATGAACACAATAATAAAAAAAATGCCATATGCTTTTTCTATTGTAATAATGCTCACTGTTACAGCTCTGGTTTTTTTTTTGGATTCATAATTGTCTAAATGAGCCGTGGTTAGCTCAGATGGTTAGCGCTCGCTCTAAATTTCGCAGTTCGCGAGCAACTCGGGTTCCATACCCGCCGGCACCAAAGAAATTGTTAATTGCGATCTTAAGTGTTGATTTACCACGTGCTCGGCGTTGAAGGAAAACATCGTGAGGAAACCTGCATGTCTGAGAAATAAGAAAAAATATATTTCGAAAACACGCTTTGGGGCAGCCCGGCGGACACTTCCTCGCCCTAAAACCCTCTCAAAAATAAGAGGACACTTGTGCCCAACAGTAGGACACATATAGGCTGTAACTTTAACTAACTTTAAGTTAATTTGTCTACAAATAATGAACGCTGATCGAAGAGATAACTGTAGATTCATCACACTGCGTTTCAGGTCTTATATGTGTTATCATTAATAAAATATTTATAGTTTTGATATGATCACACTGCCATTTTCACAAAATTGGTTCCTAGTGGAAAAAATGAGGACCATTTTCATTCGGAAGTATTAATTCTTAGCATATTATAACTAGGAGACAATAATAACAAAGAAGAGTGGCTTAGTTGTATATCACATTATTTCACGATGTTTATAGTTCTGAAAATAGTTCGTTTAATAATTTCATATTAGTCTAATCAGTTGCACATTAAATTGATGGCTCCCTACGCACAACCGCAAGACCTTCAAGTAAGGCATTATGTCACGTAGCTGAATCACTACTCTAACAAAATGACACCGTTCAAAATTTAAACAAATCCTAGTGATTCAAGTATCGATCACCATCGTAAATAGGTATGTCCTCGCTTGTGTCAAGGATTGGGGAGACGGCAAATTATGTATGTGTCGTATTTTGCATGTCCGTACTTCTGAGAACAGAGAGATCAGTCACGACCGGCCATTAGGTTATCTTGAGAGTGATATAAAATTAAAACAATAAATTGGCTTCTCCTGTTCGAGCAATGTCAGTGTAGCCGTGCTACAGTAGTGTAAAGTGGGAAGTATTAAGTTTTGAATATCGAGAATAGCTGTAATCGAACAGTGAGTACGCTTATTTTTTAATGGTCTAATTACTTTTAAATTCTAAATATAAATCAAGACGTCTTTCTTTAATTTTTGAAAGTAAATAAATTTCAGAACATAAGAACTGATATAAGAAACGATATTTCAAGTTATAGCTCTAAGTGTAAAGTAATATTGAAATCTAATTCTTACTTCGTTCTTACATCGTCAGCCTGTAAAAGCCCACAGCTAGACATGCTCTTTTTTCATTTCAAAATTAAATAAAACTACAAACAAAGTAAACTCTACTTCGGTTTAACAGACTATATTGTTAGCTGAAAACCTAAGTAAAATAGCCTAACATATATATTAAGTTTAGTAGCAAGCGGAACCCATTAATTTTCTTTCAGTTTTTATAGTCTATTAAACCGAAGTAGAGTTTACTTTGTTTGTAGTTTTATTTAATTTTGTTTTCTTTACTCATTCTTGTTTCAGTCTTAAGTACATTAGGTACTTTTAAATTGTCTTTTTGCAGTCGGGTTTTTGATTTTTTAAATTATTTATCTTATTTAAAACTTTTTAGTGTCCCAGTCTATTGTGTAAAGGTTTTTGACGATTTTTCAATAATTATCCGACTTAGAAAGCTCGATGTATATTTCTTGAAATAAACGGTTTTTATTTTACTTTATCTAAGGACACTTGGGCTTTTAAGACGACTAAAACGATACCTTAACTGTTGAAATCCATCCAGCCGTTTGGAAGATACGAGGTAATAAGGAAATTTACAAACATACAAGATCGCGCGAAAAACATAACCCTTCCTTAGCAGTGGGGTAAAAATATAATTATTTACACAAATGAAATGTAACAGATTGTTATTATTTAAAACTTACCATTGTTTTTATTTTAAGTATTTAAAGTCGAAATACCTTACGTAGGACATTTTAATTTTAAATGTTTTTAGTTGAACTTTCAAGTATGTATAAAAAAATATAATTAATTTTTCGAAATCAAAGACGAGTTATCTGTACAAACATTCGAGGACAACTTATAAATTAACCCCATGGCGTGATGATACCTTAAATAAGAGTTTGATCAATTCGTTAATTTTTCATTTACAGGGGGCCTTGTCATTAAAATGAGACGGTTGCTTATCGTGGCTGCTGTTTTGGCTCTGGTCGTAGCAAAGCCGGAGCTATACAAGGAAAAGGAGGATTTTCAATACTCCAGAAGCTCTTCCGATGAAGGGAGTAAAGCTGGCTTCTATGGCGCTCAAAGAGGCAACATGGGAGGAAACTACGAAAAAGCCCACAACATGGACGGTTTAGCTCAACACCAGATGAGCGGGCTTGTACGCCAGGTTGAAGGCGAACTTGGGGACGGTTACAAAACTAGAACTGGTAGTGTTTACACAGCTGCCAATTCTAGGGGTATCTATGGCTCTGGGAACTATGACTTAAGCAATTTGAAAGGCCGAAACTTTGAAGAAACCGAGGCGTTCAAGAATTCGCTATCACATTCTTCAATTATGTCACAAAATGTTGGATTTAGAGGGCAATCACGATTGGACAGCGCTGCATACGGCAGCAGCAGTAATCGTGCACATAGCTCCGGGTACAGAGGACACGTAGCGGCAGTAAATTCAGAACAATTTATGCAAACCGATAACCTACAGTCCGCGGACAACTTGCACAGCGCTCACGAGTACGATTACGATAGTCAAGCTGCCCAATATTTAAATTCGGGCTTTCAGAATCACCATGCATACGATCAAAGTAGCGCAAATATAGCACATTCGGGTGTGTACGGTTCAAATTCCCGCAGTCCACTTTTAACCGCGACTCCTGTTAGAGTTGTCGTCAGACCTGGAGGAAGAATAGCAATACCACTTACTGCGCAAACTTTTGACGCAGGTCACGTCGCTTCATCCCTTGACCAGAGTAATGTTAATAGTGAAGCAGAATTGCTAAGCACCAGTGGTCAACATGTAAACTATATGCCATTAAATACTCCAAAACATTACGAATCTTCTTATAGCTACCGCAAGCAATGGGAGAAGCACGATACACAGCCCGTCGCTGTACCATTAGCAATCCCTACTGTTAACCCCTTTCCATCCCAGAACGAGCTATACGACGATAACCAAGCGCTACATTTAGAAAATCAACATCGTTCTAATGTAAATGCATACAATTCCCGTGCGAGCAATAGCGAATATAACGCAAATATTAAGTCAGCAGCATCAAGTCAATCGAGATACAAGGCAGATTATAACGCACAACACAGCAGTTCTTTATCAGCTACCAATTCAAATGGATTTAACGCAGGTGCACACACATCTAATGCTTATGTAGACGGCTCTGCCGCTGTTGCCGACTCTTCTAATCTCGTAGAATTAATGAACACTAAGCCTAAAAGTTACCATTCCTCATATTCTTATCACAAATCATGGGAGAGACAAGGCGACCCCTATATAATAAAACCAGTCGGCAGTGGCATTCAAGATGGTCAGATATCTCAAAGATTAACTGCAGCTTCTTTAAACAATGGTGCATCGTATTCTTCTCACCAATATGGATCTAAATTTAACCAAGCCCACCAAAGGGTTTCACAAGATGGAGTTGATTATGACTGTGACAATGAAGGCCACATTCGTGTAGCTCGTTCTTATGACACAAGACAAGAACAGCAATTTGAGACATATCAAAATATGGCACAGGGCCAGGAAGAGTTCGGACAACAAACGCAAAATAATTGGGATGACTTACAAAATCAAAACCAGTGGGGCAACCTACAAGACTTAGGGCAGCAAAGTCAAAATCAGTGGGGTAATTTACAAGACTTAGGTAAACATACGGAGGAAAAGTTTGATAAGCTGGAAGATCTCGGACAACAAACACAAATCCAATGGAGTAATTTGCAAGATTTAAGTCAACACAAAAACGAAAATCTTGCTAAGTTGAAAGACTTAGGACAACAAACTCAAACTCAATGGAGTAACTTACAAGACTTAGGTCAACATACAGAAGAAAAATTTGACAAGCTGGAAGATCTAGGACAACAAACTCAAAACCAATGGGGTGACTTGCAAGACTTAGGTCAACACACGGAGGAAAAATTTAACAAGCTGGAAGATCTAGGACAACAAACTCAAAACCAATGGGATCACTTGCAAGACTTAGGACAACATACAGAGGAAAAATTTGACAAGCTGGAAGATCTAGGACAACAAACTCAAAACCAATGGGGTCACTTGCAAAACTTAGGACAACATACAGAGGAAAAATTTAACAAGCTGGAAGATCTAGGACAACAAACTCAAAACCAATGGGATCACTTGCAAGACTTAGGACAACATACAGAGGAAAAATTTGACAAGCTGGAAGATCTAGGACAACAAACTCAAAACCAGTGGGGTCACTTGCAAAACTTAGGACAACATACAGAGGAAAAATTTAATAAGCTGGAAGATCTAGGACAACAAACTCAAAACCAATGGGATCACTTGCAAGACTTAGGACAACATACAGAGGAAAAATTTGACAAGCTGGAAGATCTAGGACAACAAACTCAAAACCAATGGGGTCACTTGCAAGACTTAGGACAACATACAGAGGAAAAATTTAACAAGCTGGAAGATCTAGGACAACAAACTCAAAACCAATGGGGTCATTTGCAAAACTTAGGACAACATACAGAGGAAAAATTTAACAAGCTGGAAGATCTAGGACAACAAACTCAAAACCAATGGAATAAATTAGGAGATCTTGATCAGCAATTACAAACTGGTTTCGACAAAATACATCAACAAACAGAAAATAAATGGGACAAATTAGAAGACCTAAGCCAGCAAACACAAAGTAGTAAGTATAAACATTGACATTTTATTTTAATATTACCTTACTGTAATTAAGTTAAATATGACATTATTTTTTGTAAAAATAACACCATGGATAATGTTACAAACATATAATTTACGGCAATTGTCTATTTAATTTCAATGCAAAAAATATAAAAAAATAACTAATTTAAAAGCCTAAAAGATATACTTGGCATTACAAAAATAAACAAGATACAATATACTTCTAGGTTATTATATTATGACCAACTTCAATAATTTTACTAGTTTTGTACTTTTACCATTTAAGAGCACTCAAATGATAAAAATGTAAGTATACTTTAATATTTAATATTAAAAATTTAAAATAGGCAATCTGGAACAGCAAATACATCCATATGAATCAGAAGATAAAAAAAATGAAAACAAAATGGAAGAATATGATAATCATGAGCAACAATTACAAGGTTTTTGGAATGGATTTGAGAATACAAATAAGAAAAATTCTTCATCCCACAATTTATATACCGAAAAAGACGAAGAAAAATTAACACCAAATATTTGGAATAGTAATCAGCAAAGACTTGGTGACAATCAGCAAACGCAAAATACGAATTTTGATATTAGTAAGCAAATTCACAGTGCACAAAATGTTTGGAACTTAATAGAAAATGCAAACCAAGATCAACAAAAACAATTTTGGGGCCAATCAGAAGATAGTAAAAGAACTATTACATCTTCTGTTTCTGATTCAGGGTATAAAAATTTTAATAAACAAAATAATGAACAACATATTAATAATGGGAACAACAGACCAAACATAAGCTATTCTGACACATTTTGGCATAATCATTATAACAACTACAATGATTTTTATTTACAATCAGAAACTGTTCAAAACTCACAAACAGATGTGAAGCAAAATGGTTCATTGGGAAGTTTATGGGATAAACTGGATGGTATTGCCAAAGAAACTCTTAGACATGACAATGATGATGGTATTGCCAAAGAAACCCTTAGTCATGACAATGATGATGATAATGTACAAAAAATTGATAGTGGTAATCCCACACACTTGATACAAAAACAAAATGGAAATAATCCACATTCGCTACATAATCCACAACTTCACAATAATAAACCACAAACCGAAGGTAAACCACAAGATTCTAATGAAAATCCCGGTTCATTTATTGCAACACCTTCATATCATAATAACAATTTGCAACCAATGGATATAGGTCGTGGAGACATTGGCCCTGAAGACTCCGATCCTATACCTGCAATTTCTGAGATATCTCTGACTAATAAACTTTATAAAACTCCACAAGAAATAGAAGCTTTAAGTTTAACGAAAAAAACAAATAAGACATTAGCTTATGTAGCAACCGAAAAAGGCAATGATGATGACATTGGAACATTGAAAGTTCTTAGTATAGCTGAACAAAATCTAGCAAAAGACTTAAAGCACCAATTGTCCACAACCTCAACATCTACAATAACTAACTCACCAGTAAGCAGCACTAATTTACATCAGCCCAGAAATAATGGCATAACAGAAGTACAGCTTATTTATCAAAACCATGGATCTAGTCTTCAAACAAATAGGAACACTGATCCAGCTCAGGAGAATATTGGTTTTGAATCACCACCTGAAGAACCATTAAACATGAACCAGCAATTTGAAGATTTTAGCCAACAAACACAAGAATTACAAAGTCAAAGTCAACCAGGACCGTTTTTTATTGACTTTGGACAACAATCGCAAGCTACGTGGCTGCCTCAAGATAATTTAGAACAGGTACAATATCAAAAATTACCACATTTTGAAGAGCCTTCACAAAAACCGGAACAAGTACAACTTAGTTACAACCACGAATATCCAATTTCCAATAATAGAAAGCTAAGTGAAGAAATACAACCGACGCAGGATACGAATAATGAAAATAAGATTTTAATACCTTCAGAGTCAACAACAGAAAAGCCAGGGTTTTGGAGTTCAGTGGGCAGCAAACTAACAAATGCTAAAGATAAAGTTTTCTCATGGTTTAAGAGCAATTAATAAAAATATTAAATACTTTCATAGCAAATGTAGTTATATTCCTAGTCATAAATAACATTACACTAAAATATAAAATATAATTTAAAACATCCAACAATTGACTTTAAAATTCATCAAAAACTTAAATGTTACTTCTAATATTTGCTCATTTAGTTATTGTTTTAATCTACATATCTTTAAAACTTATTATTAATATTTTATACTGACCTCTGGAAGCGAGTTAAAGTATTTAATAAATGCCCGTTGCTGAACTGAATCTGGAAAGCAAATATGTATTATGTGATGTAGAATATAAATTTATAACAAATAATACTCATGTTTAGAATTAACAGTAAGATAAATTATTGACTATTTATAGTAATAACATCAAAATTAGTTAATAAAAATAAAAATCTTAACTTTTCTTTCATTTTAATACCCCAGCTCTGTTACTAAGTTACAAAAGGATTAAAAAATGTAAAAATTAACTTTACATTATTGGACCAAGACAACTACTTCATACTGACATTATACAACCATAATTAAGGGATAGTTCCCCTAGTTATGGTCAGAACCATTGTTGCATACACACATATATTGTTCATCAAATAGTTGTAATTCAATTTAACATTGGAATTTGTTAAATAGTTATCAAAATTCACACAGAGTCTGGACTTTCATGTGTAAGAACTTTAGCAATTTATATTTAAATCCAATATTTACAAAATAAAAATGACCTGTAATGTTATTGTGGAAGTAGGATAGGGTAATATGATAATAGTGTATTTTTCTGTTGTTTTTGAAGTGTGTAAATTTGTGTACTTATTGCACAAAACCTCATTTTTAACAAACTTTAAAAAAGAATGAAGTTCTCAATTCAATGTATGTTCTTTTTCCAAATTTTTTTGTATGTATGTTATGCAATATCTACAGATTGTGAACAGATTTTAATAACTCTTTTAAAAAAGTTTCATATTGAACTATTGTTTAAGGGTTTTCATATGATATCTTCGCAGATAAAGAATCAATTACAATAAATCTTTTTTTCTTAGATTATATTAAAGGGTGGTCCCATATAAGTTTGGACATAAAATTCCACCCCTAAGGGTTGCAAATAAATAATTTTTTTAGCAATTTTAAGTAGTTTTTACTTTTTATTAAAAGTTATAATTATCGCTTAGGGTACACTATATCTTCACTTTTTGTTCATATCAAGTGCTGCAGGTGGGTAATTTATTTAAAACAAATACAAGATGAATATTCTAGTATTGTTTGGAGGATGCAAGATTTTATTATACTTTTCCTAAGTCACCTCTTACAAAACTCACAGGAATAGGTGGGTAAACGGTTTTCCCATGACATCGTCATATAGCAAAAGCTCAAGTTAGGTAAGTATGATAATGGGCATTTCTGTTATTTACAAATACTAAATAGCTACAATAATGGCAGTGTTGATTGCTGAAACTACATCATTATTGTTATATCTATCTTCCTTCTGTATATTGTATTTGACGCCACTGGCTCTTTTAATAGTATATCACAATTTAAATAAAATTAGTAAATATTAAGGGGTTTATTGATTTTTGGGTTGTTAGTATCCTTCCTTTTTTTATTTTAAAGGTTTCAATTGATTAGAGGTTCTATCCATCCATCCATTACAGCATATAATAGTCCACCACTGAACAAAGACCTCCCTCATAGTTTTCCTCATGGAGGGATTTTGCTATAGTTGCCACGCTTGGCAAGCGGGTTGGCGATCGCAGTTTTTTATTATCATGAGTTGTTATCAGGAATATGCTGCTGCTTATCTATTTCATTTGCCCCCCGTCGCCCTACGACACCCTAGGGACGATATGGGGTAGTGGATATTCCAACAACGCCACTACATGGTTAACAACCATTTAATTATATAAGATTTTATCGCAATACTTGGAAGTGGTTCAGTCAATAGATTTATACATAACTATTCTTGGGCCTAATGCCTTACTTAAAGCAATATCTAATAATCTTGACGCTAGGTCAATCATGACAGTTAGTTCAGACAATATGTACCTAGGTAACCAACACCTAATAGTTTAGAATTCATAACATCTAGATATTTTTCAAGTACATAGTCAATAAACACAACTTCCAAACAACAGTAAAAACTAAAAACACAAAAGTCACTTTATAACGAAAAGTACGTTACTTACCTAAATTTAAAGCATGAAGAGGTTGTAAAGTAGACATAATTTTAATTGAAAGTAAAGTTATTCAATTAAATCAAATAAAATTTAAAATAGTGCAAGAGAAAGTATTAAATATTAATAATAAGTACGAAAACGGCGCGCTATGCCATAGACATAGATAAATAAACATGTAGCAAGTAGAGATGAAGCGTATATACTAGAACAGATCCAGGGACTAAGTATTTAACGAGACTAGGTTGCACCTATTCCAACTTTTAAAATACTTGATCCATCTAGTCTCACTGTGCCTACGCGTCGTACTTGTATTTTGTTGTCGTAGACTGTAGTTAGGTACTAGGCGCTCAACTCGGGTCGTCTTTGCCTAAATCATTAGTTTGTCAGTCATTTGAATTTGAACCAAATTTTAATGAACATAAAGGTAACGTGACGCGCACTCGTGTTTGTTGTGTAATAATATATTCTGTCCTTTTTTAACTAGACTATTCCGTAGTCTTTCTATCTTTGTTTGTCAATACTCGAGACTAGTCGGGACTCGGACTAGTTCAACCAAATACTTATACAAGAGTACAAGGCAGGCGAGTGTCTATTGTCAAATACGGTACGGACTCATGCGAATGTGATCTCGGTGGACGCTGTTTTCTTCATGTTTCCATGACTACATAACATAGTATTGGAAGCGTAAACAATTTACGTTTCGATGATTATGTAATATATTTTGATGAATATACATTAAATAATTAATATAAGTAAATGTGTCATGCATGCTTTTAGTAGTATAAAAATGCGTTCATTTACCCACATTTTCTAATCTATATATTTTATAATCGTTCGTAAGGAGTGAACTTCAGTCGTGCGCTGGAACTGACAAACTCACTTTTTATTTTTCAGAACACATCTTTTTTTAATGTTATTTATAAGAATTATGCAAAAAATAATCTAAAAAAGTATTATAATTAGGCTCGTAACTATTAAGATTATATGAGAGATAAATGAAAATAATCCACTTTAAATTCTCCCTTCCATCATTAGTATGAGCTACATCAACCAATTATAGAATTATAGCAATAGTAAAAAAAAAATAGCAGCTTAAAATCAAGACATACCAAAACAATAGGTGAGTACTCCCATTCTAGAGTTTTTCAAATAAATCAAAGATAAACATCTTTTAAAACAAATTTTACAAAATATGAAGTACTACTAAGTAGCATTTGAAGTAATTGGAAGTAAATGATCTTAATTTATTTCTCATATAACCTTAATTCTCGTAATGTAGTTACGAGAATAATTATAATAATTTTGTAAAGTATGAAGGGAAGATGTATGAATTCATTATTGCACACTTTTCAGCAGTACGCACGTAAAATATGGTACTTGAAACTATAGCGTATCCTATTCCTATTCCAACAATACTAAACTTTATGTGTACTTGATACTTTATGGACCAAGTGGAACAGGTATTTGGATCGAGTATTTATACGGAATTGGACTAGGTGCACCTAGTACGAAATTTACCTAGTACGACTCATCTCTAGTAGCAAGCTAACCATAGACATAGTCATTCCTAATTCCTATATATACAATTAGGGATGTTCGATGATCATCGATGTTAGAAGATGACAGCGATGTTTTAACAACGATGTTACCACACCTTAAACATCGATGTTACAACATGTCAAACATCGTGTCAATGAACCAATAATCGATTGATAAGAACTTGTGAACAATGCAAACCCGCGAAATCAATACCAATTAAATATTTCATTTCCTATTAAAGGTTTAAAATTTTGAATAATTAAGGAATCCTAAATGCATCGATAACCTAAAAAAATATCATTATGTTGCGTCAAACTCCCTGTCAAGTGTGAACCGTAATGTCACAGTTGTAACTACTTTCGCTTTGTTATTGTGGTGTCGCCTACAAACTACCTACTGTCGGTTGTTGCCTAATAACTATTCTACATAGATATTCAAATTAATTGTTTTTTCCCCTGCTGTCTATGCACACATAATTTTGAAACAATACGTATCTACACAATTTAATTATATTTAGCTGTATTTTTGAGTTTGGGATAACAAGTTTATTGTTTGCTTGAAGTTTATGAAAATAAATCACTGGGTGATCGTAAGCGTAGACCATTTCACTACAGTGCATTTTATAAATGGCTGTGGATACTTACTATTTGGGCTGCCTGATTAAAAATTGTGTGAACAAAGGTGACGGAAAAGTCTATTATTTTGTTTTGAGAATTTTGCTAATTTTCCCTTTATAATCATTTTTTTATTTCGCGATAGGAGTAGTTAATATAAAACCTACGTCTGAATCGTAAACAAGGATAGTAAATTTTTAATACCAGATTTATAATTGTATAGGAACATTTAAATATCAAAATAATTATATTCGTCATTATCGGCAAAATTCAAATTCAAAAAATTCAAAAATGTTTATTCTGTAACAATAAATTTAAAATCATAGCAGTATATTAGAGTTCTCCTTTTAAGTATTTTTAAATACTTATGACAGGAAAAACTCGCTCTTCCTTAATTAACATACAATACTTTAGTTACAAGAATAGCATAATATTCCTTTCCTAAAATAATTATGAAAATATATGAAGACGTGTTCGCGCGCGAGCGCATAAGTGTGTGTGTGTGTGTGTGTGTATGTGTGTGTGTGTGTATGTGTATGTGTATGCGTGTATGCCTGCATATGTGTGCGGGCGTGTTTTGTAAGCCATGTTATTATTTATTTTTACATATATTTTATTTTAACAAATTTTCTATTTTGTGATAGTTTTTCCATTTGAGCCATTCAATGAGAATTACCTTACATTC